AGCTTTCCTTACCTCCTTCCCTTTCCCTTTTTTCCTTTTCCTTTTTTCTTTTCCCTTTTTTGCGCTCTGATTCACAATGTGACAATATATATATATATATATATATATATATACTGTTTAACTATATATATTATATATATATATGTATATCTTATATATGTTTATATATATATATATATGATATTTATATATATTTATATTTATATATATTTATATGATTATATGACAATTTGTTTGACAATATATATATATTACTTATTTATTTATTTTTGGTCCGGTCGGGCAAGTGGTCCCCGACCACTCTGGTAGCCTAGATAACAAACCAAAAGGACCACTTCCCCCCCCCAACCCCCATTAGGCCTTCCCACAACACAAAAGAAGAAATATGACCACTCTCTTTTTATGTATGCATATTTTTCAAATGATAATATAAGTAGGCAGTGTACTCACATACCCATGTTTCCCATCTCAACACCAAACTCGAACTCTCGCAATCTTGGACCAAAGTCATGTACCTTTGCATCATATTTTCTCTGCTTCCCCACCTGCATTGAATTTGGCGCGCGCGCGCGAGAGAGAGAGGGAGAGAGAGAGAGAGAGAGAGAGAGAGAGAGAGAGAGAGAGAGAGAGAGAGAGAGAGAGAGAGAGAGAACAAAAAACGTCAAAAGTTGTTAGGCACAATGCCAAGCATTAGGATTGGAAAACCTTGTTATGTGAAACATGGCACCCTGAACAATTAGAATCCTTCACACAAAATCTGTTCAAAACTAGCAGACGTGCTATTGTATGAGACTTATGGAAAAAACATTGTACTCATGAGATGGAGGGAGCACGCCTTGATGGACCTGGATTTTCTGACTCCATAAAACAACAAATACAGACTGACACCTCTACACAATTGGAAAAGGTTAAAGAATGAATCAAATTCCTTTCACCATGAACTGAAAATGCAACAAATCATAAACAAATTTTGTGGCTGATAGCTAGTGGTACTACAAGGGGGAAGGATTGGGAAAGTTCAATGGAGTTGGGCCCAAGAGGATAGTCAAGGGGAGTTTCGAAAATATTATTATTGTTGTTTCATAATTGGACCCACCTAGATGCTTCGATCCCACTTCGTCCCCTTTCTGACTTCCCTGATCCGTTCGTTCTCGCTTCTATGAGTCTTGTGCCCACAACTGGTTCGGTAAGGAATAGTCGGTGAGGTATGGCATGTTCTACTTGCCTTGCTCTTGGTAGGTTTTGTCTCAATTTCTGTCTCTTTTGATTGACTATAAAGCACAAGGACTTTATGGGCTTAGATTTGGCGCCCAAGTTTCGATGAAGAGGTACATCGTGCAACTTTTGTCACATATTTTCCATTCACATTCTTAAGAGACGAATCAAGCGAGGCCTCTTTGAGCTCCCCCTCTAAAAAACGAAGGCAGTTCTGGTGGTCCCACTGAGGAAGACCGATGGAAAATGGGAGATCGGACTCTCCCTTGTCGGTGACAGAGGAGTCACATTGCATGGTTGGGATTTCCTGTCACAAATTGAGGGTGCGGAGAAAAGGGACAAGACTTTTACAGAACAAGCAAGGGATTTTATCCCCAAGCATTACGTGCCTGGGTCTAAGTCCGCAATAAGGATGGAGGGATGCAGGCAACAAATGACCTCTACCTTCTCTTTGATCCTAACAAGACAACTAATATGCGTTGGTAGAACCACAATGCGCTGTTGGAATTACAGTGCCTCAAAGTTAAAGCCAATAAATTTTGGACCGAGAAAGGGATGTAGGTGCCTGTGTAGAACAGTCAGAAAACAAATACTTGATCTAGACGGATGGGATATCAAGAGGTGGCAAACCTTGTAACTCGCCCTCCTCCCCGAGCTGTGAAATTGGACACCCAAAAGAATGGATGACATTGAAACATTTATACAGTAACTTGAAAAATCCTGCTTGCTGCTTGGCAGCAATGTGACGCCCAAACCTCATTCCCGACTCAACTTCCTGATCGGAGTGGGATGTGGGCCGGGAAGTGTGAATAGGGGTGTGCCAAGGATTTTTGGGAAAGTGGGGGTGGAGTCCCAGGTCGGAACCGAGATCCCCTGTGGCAAAGTTTCAGGGGCATAGATGCAATAGAGCTAAGGGGGCGAGTTACTTTCGGTCTGTTGGCGTTCAATGTCGTGCAGCATAAGGCAGTTGGCATGCGTGGTGCATTCAAGGCCGTCCGATCCGTCTGTTTTGGGGGTGGCGGTTCGGGGAGAGGCCCGCCCAGGATAGTTGTGTTCCCGATGAGTCGGACCTTTGGGTGCAGACACGTGGCGTATGTCGTCGCGCGTTTGGGTTAGGCCCTCTGGTTTCAGGCGCTCGTCGGTTGCCGCGTCGCCGACAATTTTCGCAAGGCGTGCGGGGCCAGTACGGGGCGATGAAATTCCACAGAACCACCGTGAGTTGGTGATACGGGAGAAGGAGACGGAAGGGAAGGAAATTGGTAGAGATAACGACGAAGCCGGGGGATATGAAGTATTGCGTGTTGTCCGAAGTGGGAAAATCGGGGCACCTTGGATCGCTGGTTGTGGCACAGTGAAAGTCCCTCGGGCACAATCGGTTCTTGGTTAGGAAGGGGAATTCCGGGTATCTTTGCCTAATACATTCTCTCACCCAAGGGTCGAAGTACTCCGAGTCCCAGGAGCTCGGCATCTTATGATTGCAGTGTGATGGAATTCTTTCGCACGCGTCTAACCGGCAAGGGGATTTTCCAATGTGATATCGGAAACTCCTATCCGTTTAGATGCGTGGGGGAAGGAAAATTCCCGCCTACCCGATATCGAAGGTGTCAAGTTTGTCAATGGTCGCGAATTGGCGCGCGTGGATACGTGTAGGCTGCGCAGATCATATCGCTCTTACACGCATCCCCGTGAGGTATTCGCTTGTTTCTGGACAAACAACTACCCGATCATCTAATCACTCCGTGATCCCGCACGTGATCGTTCCTGAGCATGCAAGGTGCTACTACACATCAGGCATCGCAGCAACAACAATGGACCAAAAAGGGTAAACAGCAGTGAAAGAAGTAATGACGACTATGCAAAAGTTTCTACTATGCTCATGAGTGTATCAAAATAACAAGCAAAGGCAAGGACCCGGCAAAAGAAAAGCAAAAGAAAAGCAACAGGCATAACGCTCATTCATCCATTCATTCGACGAAACATACAATAAACGGGATCAAGATCAATCGCAAAAC